ATAACACTGAAACTTAATCTGGTGGCGCCTTTTAATCTTTCAAAGATTGATGCATTTTTAAATTTATGGATTCCAAAAAGTAGTTTAAATATGTTTTTTTTTTTTTTTTTTACATATTTTAAAAAAAATTTAAAAGATTACAAAAAAAAAAAAAAAAAAAAAATCTAGGAAAGAAACTTAATTTAAAAGTTTACAGCTAACTTCCTTTAATTAAAAGAAGAAAAAAATGCTTTTTGAATTTATGGTCAGCAGCATTTTAAAGTTGGGATGTGAGACTTTGAGCGTTATAGAAATGTAATATATAAATACTATATACTTAATTATTATTATTTTTGTTAGTTCTTCGGTGGAAATCGACCATTACCATTTTAATCATCGTATTATAGTATAAATAATGTTAAGGTAGCATCTGAAATATGCTAACTCACACAAGCTCTGGTGTTGAAACTGTGGTAGCTTAAAGTCAATAATGTGGCACCCTTATCTTCATTCCCCTATTCTTGATAAATATGTTACACATACAAAATCCTGTCAGCCATATAACTAATCATTAGTTTTCTGTTCCACGATGAAATCTTAATTTTTAAATCTGTTTACAAATGTTGATTATCCCCTTTGAGCAGAATCGTCATCTTGTGTCGGTATACTTTGTTGAACCTCTTTAAGAGAGGGAAACCGTACTTGCAAGTTGTTTGGTAGTCGTTCTCTTCATTATTCTAATAAATGTGCAAACAGCTGTCTGATGTCTCGAATTATCTGAGCTAAAGTTTACATCTCTGGGTTATTCAACTTGTCTCCAAGATTATAAAAAGAACCTTATTTTATATCTGAGAGACAAATGATGTTCTTAATTCAAAAGTTTATAAAAGGTGTTATATATTTGACATGGAAATTAGTGATGTTTGACTTCTTTGTTCAGGCATTGGCATAGGTCAGTGCCGACTGGGGTAAGCCAAAATTTTTACCGCCTCCTTCCACAAAAAAAACTATGCAGTTGGCCGAAAATGCCGCCCCTCCATATAAAGTGAAAAAGTGCCGCCCAGGGCAGCCCGCCTCCTTCAACCCCTCTTCCTACGCCATTGTTCATACATCAAGATTTCACAAATCAGAATAATTTTCATTTAAGAAATGCAGAGCTAAAAATATGACACATTTTATTCTATAATTATGTAAATGATATCTATATAAATAAATGAATGATTTAAATTACTAAACACATTGAATGACATTAAATCAATATTCACTGAATGATAAATAAATTTCATAAATAATTTCAATAATTATTGCAGCTAACACTTGGCTGTAACTGTATAATACTATCCCATAGATAAATAGCTGTAACTGTATGATACTATCCCATAGATACATAAAAATTCATCAACCATTTTATTTTGTCTTGTAAAAGCAAAGGGAGGTTACCTATAACATTTGTAATTATCATCAGTATCCCAAATTTGTTTACTTAACACTACCACAGGGTCAACAGTGTTAGAATAAGCTGATTTAATGTAAGGTTAACTCCAGTAATAAATGTATTAAAAATTAAAAATAAAATACTTGTGTCCAGAAATAACATAGCAGCGACAGCGTTTGTGCAAACACACAAATCTTAATGAATGGAAAATGTTTGTACCATAAGAGCTTGATAATTTATATATAATTCACCTGTTTTTCTAAGTTTTTATCTAACTTTTATCTTGCATTACTGAACTCACGTATTTTGTGATCATTTGTATTTTGTGATCATCAGTGTTTGAATTCAAATAATTGATAATTGTTTTCTTCCCATCACTGCAGCAACATATCTGCATGTTTTTATTACTATATATGGGATAGGGTGGTGGTGGGATGATATCCTGTATGTTGGGGAAGCAATCTGTAGAGCAGTAATTTAAAACAACTCATATGATAAAAGGAAGTCCCATTATTTTAATTGTTACCATTATAAAGTTATAAAGTGTGATATCATGAAATAAGGAATCACTGATAAATTTACTTTTTAATTTACTTTTGGCAATGTCAGATAACTCTAAAACTTAAACAGAAATAATTAATAATCTTCAGTTTTGTAAAAATGTTATCTGTGTACGCAAACATGGTTATCTCCCATGGAAAAATAAATTGATACATTTGTGTAGAGTATGAAATTATGCATGTTTGTTTTATTAATTGCACAGCAATGATCTGTTCACTTTATGTGGTGTCTGTGTCTGTGAGGTCCTGTGAGTTAGCCTTTTATAGCCTATGAGAAATCATTTTAAGATAAATATTTGTTTCTTCAAAACATGATTCTCCCAAAGTGTAGGTATTTTAGTTCATGTGTACAGTTTAACCAACAAAAATCTTTAAAAAATTTAACAAAAATATGCCAAATTATTATAATTATAATGTTTGTAAAATAAAAAATATACTGTCATTCTTTTAATTTAAAAAATGTGTGATTAAAAGTTGATAGTTTTAACTGGCATGTAAAGATTAAACTATTTCAAACAATTGCAGAGTTTATTCTTTTGTTCCAAATTGTGATTGTGTCATTTTCTGTCCCCCAGGGATCAGTGCTAGGCCCTTGTTTGTTCCTAGCATATATTAATGACCTACCCAAGAAACTGACATCCTAAGCTAGACTGTTCACAGATGACACAGCGGTGTATAGGACGATCGCCAACAGATCTGACCAGGACCAGCTACAACAGGATCTCAATTGGTTAGCTGAGTGGGAGATGAGCTGGGACATGGAATTTCACCCTGCCAAGTGCCAGACACTATCAGTCTTTAGAAGTTGTACTCCTCTACATTACCAATACGAAGTGCACTCCCACATACTTGAGCCAGTTCCCTCCGTAAAGTACCTGGGTGTTACATTCAAAGAGAGGTCTGCTGGGATGATCATATTAACAATGTATGTAACCCTGGGGTTCTTACGGCGAAATCTAAAGATTGGCAACTCCTGTGTGAAAGAAAGAGCTATAAAGCCTTTGTCCGTCAGGTTTTAGATTATGCATCTTCAGTCTGGCATGTATTTACCCGGAAGAGCATTGACAGGTTGGAGGCGGTCCAGTGACGGGCAGCATGCTTTGTCCTGAACTGCTACAGGAATACCTCTACTCTAGTGTTTGCAGCATGCTGGAAACTCTAGGTTGGTCACCATTGGAGGAACGACGACTACTATCCAGGCTCTCCATGATGTGCTGGCATCCGTCCGTCACAATGTGACGATGGAGTGAGCTTCGGAGGATGAAATCCACATGGCCTGGGATTATTCTTCAAGGATTATCAGCTGGTTCCAAAAAGCAAATGGCCTCTCTCCACGCCGCTGGATAACCCAAGGGAACATCATTGGATGATACAGCTTGGCACCAGTAACGTCACAATTGTCGGAATGTTTCATTGTACCAATGTTATCCGCTTTTCGGGACTCCATCTCCGGGTTTGATTTCAGAGTTTCCTTCTCTTAGATGAGTTGCCATCCAAGGTTAACGAGTCCCATCTACCCGGGGTGCTGGTGATGTTTTTGCTTGACTGGGCTCTGGATCGAATTGAACTCCAGAACACCACCAAAAGGAACAGTTGAGGCGACAACACTAGACACATTTGCATCTATTGCGTCTAATGATTAATGATAATACCAGTGATAATTTTAGAGACATGAACAAATCAAGAATCTATGACCCAGGGTTGGAATGCCGTCCACTTTCTTGAAGTGTAGACTCTTGTGGATCCACTAATCATGTCCCGTCAAAGTGGGCACATGCCTGGTGGCTACGTGCCTTTTAGGGAAAAAAAGGCTACAATTATTTTCGGACAGGGGTGGGGTGAGTGGGTGGGGCTTGATTTGATTTGGAACCTCAGTAGGGATGGGCACTTGAGAACAAGTAAATCGATCAGGCTATCAAAAGAAAAGGTAAGAGAAAAAGAAAAGATTTGTTTGTAAAGACTGTAAGGGAACATCAAAAGGAGGATTTTGAAACATTTTGTCTTCTAATGACAGCATTTTTTATGAAAAGAAATGAGTAAAATCTTTTATCCAGCACTCTGAAATATCCCATCAGTATCGGGGTATCCCAACAGCAGCCTTAGTAAATGTGTTAATAATTTAAATTGTTGATGAATTCTGATAGTTGTAACTGTATTTTTGACAGTTGTACCGGTACCTCAGATGGAATGGCAACAGCATTTTTTTCCCTTGGATAATCAGCTTTTGATTTGCAGCTGTGTTCCAACCAGTGTTTCCATTATTTTACTTCTCTTAAACTTAAAAAATAACTGCATTATTTGACCAGTGAGTCCTATGAATCCAGATTCCTTTATGACACATTGTAATAACTGTATGTATCTGCTGAATGCAATGACAGAATTTAACAGCGTGCAAGGATTTCAAATTAAAGAGTGTAAGGATAGAATGTATTGATTTCATGTGCAATGAGTATTAGGTAAGGATAGAATGTATTGATTTCATGTGCAAGAAGTATTATTGTAAAGATAGAATGTATTGATTTCATGGGCAATATTGATTTCATATGCAATGAGTATTATTTTAAAGATAGAATGTATTGATTTCATGTGCAATGAGTATTATTGTAAAGATAGAATGTATTGATTTCATGTGCAATGAGTATTATTGTAAAGATAGAATGTATTGATTTCATGTGCAATGAATATTATTGCTCATTCTTTGCATGTTGAGATGACCAAGGCAATATTTGGCTTGACTAGTATTGGTAGTATCCTTGATTTGAGCTGTATTTTGTTTACAGTGAGGGAGAATTGCTCAATTTGTCAGCCTCACTTTCTCATCCTTGCCTATCTGATCCAGACTGTCAGGACAACTGGAAATACTAATGAACACAAAAAATATTATTAACAGACACAACAAATTCTTGAACACTTTATTGGCCTGAATCGGCATAAAGTGCTCATGGAAATCTTAGAACAAGTGAGAGATATACACACTCCTTTTGTGCTTTAATTTACTTTCACTTCTTTCACCATAAAAACACATTTACATTATTCATCAATAATAAATCACATTTATTACTAACAAAATGGATATACTTGAAATTTGTTAGAAGTTAAAATAAAACAAAAATATATTTTAATATTTTCACATTTGGAAACTTATCCACTTCTTTAGGCACAAATTTAAATACATGAAAAATAAATCTCTGTTTTTAATACAGTACAGGGAACAATAGTTTATTATCAAGAGTCCGTCCCTTGAGATCATTCCATGACTTAAATAATATAGCAGCAGGTCACATGAAACAAAAAAAATATGTTTACAAAAGTTTTTGAACAAAGACAATTAATTTCAGTCAACATTTCAGTCCCAACATTTATTAAGAGTTTATCCACAAGATTTGTTGAGCAATTTCATCAGATTCTTAGGGACAAAATTAACACAAAGGGGAAACAAATCTAAAGCTTGATAATCTGACAGGTATGTAAGGATCATCTAAGACCTCAAATAATCATTTTTTTGTGACCATAAGTTAAAACTTGAACAAAGTCAGGTCACACATTAACATCTGCTTGTCTTTAGATTTTTACAAATTGTGGTATATAGGATTAAGAGCTCTTTGTGATTGTAATCTCTTTTGACAAACACTGAGAGAAACTAAAAAAAAATCTATGCCCGATGTTTTGTTAACGCACATCAAAACTCTTTTAGGAAAAACATGTAAAAATGATGGATATACAAATAGTAACAATTGATGTACAATCAAAATCTATAACTGAGTGTACGTGTAAGCATGAGAAATCATTTTTCAAATTATTTGAACCCCACCACTGTTTTAAATGATTAATCAAGTGAAAATAATCTGGAGAGAAAATACCACCAAGCATAAAACAACTTTATCAAAATCATCTAGACACACACAAATGCTGGTACAGTACAGCAATACTCATTTTATGGCTTGAGACATGACCAGCCACTCAGATGCTGGAAGAGCAATACTGATTTTATGGCTTGAGACATGACCGGCTACACAGATGTTGGTACAGCAATACTGATCTTAGGGCTTGAGACATGACTGGCTAGGCAGATGCTGGTACAGCAATACTAAATTTTAGGGCTAGAGACATGACCGCTACACAGATGATGGTACAGCAATACTGATCTTAGGGCTTGAGACATGACCCACTACGCAGATGCTGGTACAGCATTACTGATCTTAGGGCTTGAGACATGACTGGCTACGCAGATGCTGGCACAGCAATAATAAATTTTAGGGCTTGAGACATAACCAGTTACAATTGCATGAAAAAAATATCTTTCATTTCAGTCATTTCTTCTATTGACAATTAAGGTACAGCCAAAACAATTACAGAATGAGAAATAACAAAATTATATAAATGTGGAATTTGAGGATTTTCAAAAGTGGAGAAAGAGAGGAAAATCTTTTCAATAAAAGTTATTAAAGTGACATGTAAACAAGTTACGTCTGTTAAATTTGAACATTCATAAAATTCCCTGAGCAGAGATCCTTCCAAAAGAACAAGGACTAAAACTGATCTAAGCGGTCATGTTATTTACATGCTGAATCACTGCGCCACGTGTTCCGCCATTACTTCATTTCTTCTCAGACTGCCAGGCCAGGTAAGTGTTCCAGCCAAGGGAGATAAAGTTCACAAAGAGAACTCTGAAAAATAAAAAATAAAGTTTCTGAAACTCACACCTTATAAAAAACTGATTTTTTTTTTACACTTTAAAGAATTAATTATGTTAATACTTATGGTTTAAACCTCACAGAACTATTGAAAATTGTCGATAAACTAACTAATTCATTATTGCAAGGTTTTTCTAGCCTTGTAAATTGTAAATGAGAAGTTGTAGATTTACTGTGAGGAAAACAAGTCTGAGATCACATTATAAGTTGGGCTTTTGTTTACTACAAGTGTCTCACTAAAGAACTGGTGATTTTCTGAAATTGTCTGTAAAGCAAACAGACTTTGTGACTTGTCTGTAAACAAGACCTTGGGACCTCATATTTCAACAATGGGGAATAACTCATGTGAAGATCCAGGATTGAAGACAAACACTGACCACTACACCAACACTTGACCACCACTACCCTACCTTTACAGTAACACTACATTACCATTAAATTACAATTACAAAACCCACTCCATAGCATTACAATTTCCCTACCATAATACTCCTGTGTAGATCTGATGTTTAATACACTCATCATAACACTACCACTACAACTATACCACACTTTAACCTAACACTGAATGCGTACATCTTCACCCCTATTAAAGCATGCTATAGAAATTTGACCCCCAACCTTCACATCCATATTGAGCTGCTTCAAACATTGCCAGTTGACTTACCTGTGTTGTAGAGGCATAAAGTAAAAGTTAATCATCTGTGCCAGGGGCCAGACCTGAAGAGATGCATAGATCATTTAATTAAAATGTTCTCATTGCTATCAATATATGCAGACCATGATAAACTAAGTAATCAATTCCATCAGTAAATCAAAAGACTTGTGGGTCAATTCATTAGCCATTTATATTTAACTTCAGTTACTCCCCACCACCCCCACTAAAATTTTTGTTTACATCCAATGGAGCTCAAAAAGAGTTGAGATATAATTCAATTTTAACAGCCATTGAATTGATCTTAACTCTACTTTGTGATATATTTACATGAGATAATGTCAACTGCTTTGATAAATGGTTGCTTCATTTTTCATGTTACATTATTTTTTAAAGTCTTTTATGAGCAAGTTCTTGAATCCAAACAGTGTTCCTTTGGTCATTAGCTTTATTAACTTCCCCAAGAACATGTGATTAGGTTGCATCCTGCCAAGCTATTCTTAAATTTCTTACAACTTACCTTGTAATTATTTAAAAGTATTGTCACAAAGTCCTGCAATGAAATAAATATTAAAAAATTATATTTTTCATTAAAATCAATTACTTTAAACTAAATGTAGAGCCTGTCAAATTCAACGGGACATCCATGGTATATGCCCTTTATGTCGTATTTGCCCATTTCAAAGACTGCAAACATAAATATGTGCCAAATAATTGTAACTATTTGCTAATGTATTGTGCACACCAAGGCTTTTACAATCAATTGATAAATTAAAAAAAAAAAATAATAATCTTAATTAACACCAAACAAAAATAATTATAATTTTTTAAATACTTCATATCAAGTCTGCCATGTTATATTATTTGATTGACATGTTTTTTCCTTATCAGTGGCTCAATAACATTATATGAGTCAGAGGATGAGTTACACCCCTGTGAGGTAACATGGTCGATGGAACTTACTCGTTTAAATTTGGCCTTGATCTCTTCAAGGCTTTCCAGGCGCAATAGCCCCATGCCAGTAATAAATGTAGCAATAAAGATTGGTGACATAATTATCTGAAAACAAACATCACATCAGGTTCATAGCACACCGCAATAATGAAATTATTCAATACTTTAGCTGTGATGTACGACACTCACAGACACATTACACAAACCACATACTCACATTCCTAACTTTAACCACTTAAATAAATCATACTGTATGACACACCTTATTTCTAACAATGTCGTTAAAATTAATCCAACCATGATTTAAAACAAATAAAGTTCTTTCTTTTGTTAAAAATCATTCATTTATGCCACTAAGCATTTCAAATAATATAATATGATCATGGCAATAGAAGTGCTTCAACTTGTTTGAATCATGTAATAAAAATAAATGTCCAATAATAATATTTCAGCGGGTGCAGAGAGTTTAACAATAAGTATAGTGCATTTGTGAATTCATCAAACAATTAGCTTACCTGATCGGTGGCCATCATTTTAAGGGCAGCCAAATTCTTCCCGGCATAAAGCCGATCTAATGTCAGGTACCAACCTCTCATTGCTGGCCCCTAGTGGAATGATAGCAAAATAGATATTACTGGGCAGCTCATCAAAGATATGACGGATAGGGCTTAGCTAGAGCAATAAACACATATCATTGCTAGGCCCTAACTAAAGAAATAAATAAAAAATATTGCTGGGCCCTTACTGAAGAAATTGAAAAAAAAAACAATTAAAAAAAACAAACCATCAAGTTAAATTTGCTTTCAATCTCCACCTCAAGAAGGCAGAAGTGCAAGACCCAATAGTAATTCTGGCTACCACTCATTTTTGCCCCCCAAAGCTTAGACTATCAATAGTCCCATTTCTAGCTTAGGGATGCACTAATGTCATGACAACCAGTTACTGACAATCCATTAAAAATCAAATAAGTTTATAAACATAGAAGGAATTTAGTGAAAAATTAAAAAGAAAAACTAAACTTATGGTCCTCCATGATTTAGGAAATCCTCAGTAACTTACAAACACACAAAAGCCAAAGACAAAAAATCTGCCAGTCCGAATTCCCTCATATTCCTTGAGTGACTTTCTCTCTATCACAGTTTGACTGATACAGTCGCCAGTTGCCATAAGAGTACCTTATAATGAAATTGTAGATCTATGATATTCTTAAGATTAAAAAAAACATAATTAATACATGTCTTATCACATTTTTCTGTATTTACTATATTTATTGCATATTACTTTCATCATTATTTCTCAGAGGATTGATTTAAACAAAACCCTGAAGAGCCTATAAATAAGCCTAACAATAAGATAAATATAGACACACAACTGATGTCCAAACTGTTCCTTTGGAAATTTAAGGAAACCAATCTGGTTAACAGGGACATATTTATCCAATAAGACAATTGTAAAGGACATTTTCACAATGTACCAGTTATACTGGACAAGCATCCAGTGTACCTGTTGTACAGGAACTCTATACAAGCTACCTGTGATACTGTATTGGACATTTATGTAATTTACCTGTTGTGAAGCACATTGTTCTCAGGGGAAACTTTTCTAGCAATCGAGCATAACCTTTCCAAATTGCTGTAGCCATGGAATTGTCTGAAGATGCTGAATTTATAACATTACCTAAACAGAAATGAACTAGTGAGTAAAAGTCTTTAAAAAAAATAATCATCTGTTAAAAAGAATCAAATATCTATGATTATTATATGAATAAACACACATTTTCTTTATAAAAACACCAAGTTCCAAGTACTTAGACTTACTCTCTATGTAGCACTACCGTTACCGGTATATTTATATTCACCTAACAAAAATCTTCAGAATAATTTCAAAGTTGAAGTTTAGGAAGAGAGTTTCATGATTGAGGCTAAGTGTTGAAATCCATACCCAATTTAAAGGGTAAGAATATGTAGCTTTTATTGGTGAACTATTATTATTACTCACATCAACTGCCAATTTAAAAGGAAGTGTGCAGACTTAATTGTGGCATAAATCAATGAACTGTTAACCTATAAATTAGTTTACTATAGTCTATAGCATTGATTTACAGCAACTTGAGTAAGTGTGTGTTATTCAACCAGATGGAGGGTTAGAAAACCTGGTACCTATTTTAGAAGTTAAAATTTTATTGCATTATTCTTACTTTCTTAAGCAAGGGCTGAGATTATAAATTTATTTTATTTCAGCAAATTATAATACTAATAATAGTTAAAAGGCATAGAATAGATGCTATAAATCAGTTTTAAGACTGAATATTGATTTATTGACCCCCATTGAATAGATGCAGTATTCCAATATATGCAAACCTGGGATAACAGCAACCTAAATTTGCATTGTTTTGGGTAAATTTTTAAAAATAGTTTAAATTTAAAGCCATAAAATAAAGTTGAAGAAACTAGACCTATTAATGGGTTTAAAAGATTATCATAGATTATGTAATATCACAGAAAGGGGAATCTGTAATGTCAGTAATGAATGCCAAAATTAAATTTTTAGAGATTTTTACTTACTTAACTGACCAGGGATAGCTGGGATAATCGATAGGCTTGAACTGAAAATGAATGATTAATAATGAAATTGAATGAATAAAATGGCTTATAATAATTTTAAAAATAATATTCTAAGTCTAAATAAACTACTTAAAGTACTACTTATTAATATCATTATTCTCTTCAATATTAATATTAAGATGAACATAATGTTTATATTTTTTGTTATTACGGTTTAAAAAAAAGTTATTTTGCGATAAAATGACTGATTTTCAAAGTAAATTTACTACGACTCAAAGTACTATCGATAATGGGTAATTATTAAAAAAACGTGACTGAATAACATTTTTTAAAAATGGACGAAACTCATGATTTTTAAGATGTTATTGTTTACGTTTACGAGTAAGTAAATTAAAAAGTAGTTTTTTTTAAAATTGCTTTTACAAAAAGAATAAATTTAAAAAGTGACCCTATCATCACCATGAAATTTTCAAAGTTCAGGTATAAACTTCTATTTACTTTTTTTTCAATAAAAACGTCCAATGTCAAGCAGAGCCAAGATGTCTACTTTAAGTTGTGGCGGAAATAGAATCATGTAGAAAAACCCGAAACGATACGGAACAATTAAAAACTAGAGGTCGATATGTTGTCAATTTTTGCATATATTTATTTTATCAGCGTCTTAAATTAAATTGTCAAAATCTTATTATTTTAAAAATGTATCCCACAAATACTTATAATAATATTGATATCCTGCTACTTCAGTTTGATTTTGATAAAACTAACTTTATATCAAAATAAAAGGCTACAATTTAGTATAAAATTATTTTTTTTTGCTGGTATCCGTCCGTCACAATTTAATTTATATTTCTTGCCAAGTATCAAACATGGCAATATGTTGTAAGTTGTCAAAGTATATTTCAGCATATATTTTAAAAGCATGACTTTTAAAGTTGGGATAGTTTTGATAATAAATTGGTTTTATGGCATTAGTCTTAAAAAAATATTTTTTATTTGCATAACTATAACATTAATCGATTCCAGGTAAGCCCTATGTTGTATTATATAAAATAAAAACGTAAAAAAACAAAGAGATTATTTTTTAAAATTAAGAATTTAAATGGCGCATACATAAAGTGCACATTTCATCAATTATTGTATCAAAACCGTTTAAGGTTTCTTTAAATCTACTTTTGTAACAAAGTTTTCTGAATGACAGAAGTTTAAAAAAATATTCTTAACCTATATTTATATTTTATTATGCCCACCTATTTGCACGAATTTAGAAAAAAGAAATTACTTTTTTTTTCTAGATGAGAATCTATCAGTATCAGAAAGTATCAAAAAAAAAAAATAATAAAAAATAATAAAGATTTTTGTAATCTATAATTTTCTTTTGTTGGTGCTAGTTTTTAGAAATAATTCGTATTCTTAATTTGTTAATTATAAAATAAATTCTGTGGATTTGGTAAAAAAAAAGAAAAAAAAAAAGAGAAAAGTGTTTTACAGTTTATCTTATAGGCCAGCGGTTCTCAACCTGTGGGTCGCGACCCCTTTGTGGGTTGCGGGACCCTTTTCCAGGGGTCGCCTAAGACCATCTGAAAACATATATCCTTACAGCTATGAAGTAGCAACGAAAATAATTGTGTGGCTGGGGGCTTGCCATGACACGACTAGAAAGGTTGAGAACCACTGTTATAGGCTATGTGTCTTAAAATAGTTATACTATTTTGACATTCCAAATAAACATTTAAATCAGCTGAATATTGGGAAATTCACACTTTATTTGTATACGATATCCTACAGATAAAATAGCACATTAAAAAAAAAATTATAACATCATATTTTCTTTACATAATAATGCCATTCATACATGATTTATGAAAATGAACTACTTTGATAAACGATAAAAATATATAGACCTTTCCTCTTAACATTTTTTTGACTATGGTAAAACTTTGAAATATAAAATATGTAGAAAATTTAAATATTATAAGTAAGTTTTTTCCCGTTTGCAATCAACATGTAAAATGATGTTAGCAGCGCTTTTTATGAAGTTTTCCCCTTTTTAGAAAATTCATTTATCAACTATTTAGTTAATCCCCAAAAGGTTTAAATAAAAAAACGAAAGCTACCTTACTATTTAGTAAAATAAAATAATTTTTTGTAGAACTCAAGCAAAGTTATTGTTCGACTTTTCGAGACTTCCTTTGCCCCATTTTAGTTAAGCCCTCGCCAGACATTCTTCTTATATATATCGAGGACCCAATATCAATTTATTGATCATTCTTTCTATGTATGTAGAGGGATCTGCAATGTTTCTGTGCCTGGTATTGAAGAGGAAATTTCACTGGTTGCAAGGGCTACCCAGCGAGGGTATCATGCACTGGGGTTTGGAAGGCCTGAGGTAATAGACGCAAATGTTTCAAGTGTTGTCGCCTCAACTGTTCCTTTTGGAAGCTTTCTCCAGTCCTTGATTGTCTTTGGCAGGAATGAGCAGCTCCTGTACCGCGTTCTTGCCGTTTAGAACCGGAACTGGCTTACAACGTGATAAGTGAGAGTATAACCACTTCAAATCTTTAAGTCTCTAAAATTTCCGAGGCCCACTGCAGTTGTAGGGGTTGCTGCGGTATTTCTATGGTTAAGTTACACCTACATTTTTTGAAACTTATAATATATATTCCGTTGCTCTACAATTAAATGAAGTATGTTGCAAAACTTAATTAAATTATTTACTAAAATGCAATTCTTGTATTTTGAATTTATCAAAACTTTTCTGGGGATTATAACAAATTAAGAGGCGATTAAAAAAAATAAAATAAAAAAAAAAGCTAGGAAAAATGTATACCCTCAAAGGCGCCCCAACTGGGAATGAATTTAGTTAATATCCCCCGGTGCAGCGTTAAAGATGTCTTTGATCATTATTATGACTTTTATTAAATTGGCGCTTCCCGTGCGAGAGATTGAAATATCACCTGAAAACTACCTGAAAGAAATACCGAATTCAAGTATGTTCCAAAATACACCTAATACACTGCTTTTGAATTTGCGAGACTGTCTTTGGCACCCTCAATTGATGCACCCCATTCCTACAAGCTAATCAGTGTTAGAGTATGAATTTGAATATAAGCTTGTGCCTGTGGTGAAATGACTTTTATATTATGGGGTGTAGCAACAACTCTCTGATGAGTGTCACACCGGCTTGTGTCTAGGGTTATTTTGTTATGTCGATTTCACACACTAAGGAACATAATTACATTACCCATTTATGCCTTATCTATCAAATACTTCATAACAACATTCAGTAAATTAAATGAACTATTTATTTACATGTATCTTAATATATGGCGTGATAGTGAAGGATATGCGAAACAACTTTAATTTTAATTAATCAGCGTCTTTGACTCTCAAATTTTCTTTAATAGCATAAATGCTGACTTAGCCTTTCCAATGCTAGTCCTGACATCTGCTTCGGATCCATTTATGTTAATGGTGCTGCCTAAAGTATGTGCTGCTTAAGTATGTGAAGGCCTCCACTTCTTCGAGTGCATTTCCTTCCAGACAGAGATGCTCTGCTTGGTTGGCCGAGTTTACCTTCATAATCTTTGTCTTGCTTTTATTTATATAAATAAAAGCAAGATTCATCTACGCCCATGGGCGCCCGCAGAAAACTTTCGGGGGGGGGGGCAAAAAAATCGATTAACTTTCCAGGGGGGGGGGCAAAAAAAATCGATTAACTTTCCAGGGGGGGGGGCAAATTTTTTTTAGTAATGTTTAGATGTAGTTTTAATTTACTGTAGCGTATTTGTATGGTGAACGAACGGACAGGACATTAGTTACTTTCTCTTTATTTTCTCTTGAATTTAATACATTTTTTGTCTATTTTTGTCTAAACTTTTTTAATCCAATCAATCCGGGGGGGGGGCGCAAGTGCCCCACCTTGCCCCTACCTGCGGGCGCCCATGTCTACGCCCTCGATTTCTGCCCCACATCCCGATGAAAATGATCTTTAATTTTGGTGATGATAGATAGTGGAGTAGCTAGTATTAGTGTTCGTGCCGCTATGGGTGGCTCAATATTTTTGGATCCTTTTCTTTCTGCATTTGTCCGATTATGCCGTACATCCATATGTTGGTATTACTATTTATCAAACTAGATAGAGCCCGCTAAACATTGGCGACAGCAATGCGTGACCTTTCCATGTGGTAAAGCTACTTGACAAAACAGGAACTCAAGTAACGCAAATTTAAGAATCCCAATATTTGATACACCCCCTTCTCCCATGACACTTTTTATTTCACGCCCATGAGCTATATTAATATTCTCATGTCCCAACCACCTTTAAACTGAATTTTTTTTTTACACTTTACTTAAATTGAGACGATTTCATTTCCGAAAATATTACGCACCAAACGCAATTGCGTTATTAAAAAAAATATAAATCTTATATAGCGTAGTTATCCGGGAATTATAAATTTAATAGAATAAATAATTTTATGGGCTGTACTGAACAGACAGTGAATTTTTTTTAAAATAGGAAAAAATGAAAGTATAATTAAAATAATTAGCGTGTATGTTCGGCATAATCATTTGGAACATTCTTTTAATTAAAATCTTTATTTTTATCCCCCCCCCCGCCCCCCCAAACTCCTTTTCAAACTGTTGTTCGAAGAGTCGGTTAGCGTAAAAAATTTTTTTTAAAATAGGAAAAAATGAAAGTATAATTAAAATAATTAGCGTGTATGTTCGGCATAATCATTTGGAACATTCTTTTAATTAAAATCTTTATTTTTATCCCCCCCCCCCGCCCCCCCAAACTCCTTTTCAAACTGTTGTTCGAAGAGTCGGTTAGCGTAAAAAAATATCATAAGTTTTACTAAGGTAAAAAGACACAGGAAAAACGTATTTAACTTATGTGTTTCTTTCAATTGTCTTATGTATATTATCAAGCAATCAAAAGATCCCATGTCATGTCTTTCTTTCAAGGGTCATAGCTCTGTTATCAAACAACAAACAATCCCATGTCCCGTAGTATCAAGGTTCTTCAACACAAAAAACAAAAAACAACAAATAAAACATTTGCACACAATTTTTAATTCTTTTAATTTGAAATTTGTGTTAGAGAAACAATTTTAAAAATCAAAATTAAATTGCAACAACTATTTTAATTAAAAAAATCTAAAGAAAAAAAAAATTAAAAAATTAAATTTTTAAACAAATTTACACATGAGAGAGACCGGAAGCAATCATCTCTCTTACGTAATCCATGATTTATGTAATTGTAAGAAATCATTTCTCTTACTTAATCCATAATATATGTAATTGTAAGCAATAATTTATATTACGTAATCCATGATTTATCTAATGGTAAGCAATAATCTCTGTTACATAATCGATGATCGATCTAAATGGAAGCAATCTCTTTTGCATAATCCATGATTGATCATGATGTAAACAATCTTCTCTCTCACATAATAAACGCTTTATCAATCAAAATTTTAGGAAAGGAAATGAGCTATTTCAATGTAGCAAACTTTTATATAACACTTGAACAGTATTGTGCATTGTGCCACAAATATTTAAC